ATCCGATCTAGGATTCGGCTCCTACTCGTCCTCCTCCTCCTGCTACCTTCCCCCACACATTTGCCATGGGAATTACAATCTTGCGGCTAAACAAACTTAAGTTGATTAATTTTGGCAAATCAGTTAATGAAATTAATTGAAAGGCAACTCTCAATAATTTGTGGATACTTTGATGGTGCTGCCGTTTGCCCGGAACGGGGGTACGGATAATTGGCATTGCATGTCCGAGTGCTTGTACAACAAGCACACGGATATAACATATATTTAACACATATCAACATGTATATACAAATAGAAATATGGACACGTTCCGTTTCAGTTCGCCTAATTCCAGTTTAAATGTTGACAGTTTGCATATTTCAACATCTGCTCAAACTCAAATGCAATTCCCAGTTCTCTGTGCTAGGTGCTCTGTTCTCTGACCCTTGGCTCCTGTCCCTGGCCAACCAGCTGTTGTGTCATGTCCAGGCTTTAGACGCCATTGAATCACTTTCGAACGTGTCAAAACTGCCTGTTCAGAATGGGGCGTGGCATCTGGGATGTAGGCCAACCAACGTCAGTGTCAAATGGATTTGCCATAGAAATTGATATGTGCGCATGTATGTGTATGCACAGATGCACATGTGTATACATGTGTGTACATGCATGCACACACCTATTCCTACATGCACACACATGTCATATATACATAAATACATACACACATAAGGTGCAATAGAGGTGTTCACAAGTTTCTCTCAGGCTTGGTTTTTTTACACCTTCCTCTAGCTCGTATACCCTGTAAAAACCTATGTATCTCTATAAAACTGTTTGTCTTAACTGCATGACAGACTAATTGACTGACTGATTGGTGATCCACGCTAGGAACCTGAAATTTTTACTTAGTGGTTTGGGAAATTCCACACTTTTCGCGGCTTCCGAAAATAATTCCAATAAAAATATATATTAATAGATACTGCGATGCTATAGAATATAATACCTTTGTATCGCTTCTGCCTCCTGCCTTGACGATAATTTAGCGATAGCACAGCACTTTCTATAGAAAAATAACCTTGGTTTTTAAAACAAAGAGTGCTCAATAAATCAATGTTGCTGATTTATCTTTCTAGGTGATAACATAGTTTTTTTAGTCAGCTGAAGAAATTATCGTCTCGTGTTGCTTTTAATATTAAAAGCCAAATATGCTCCACTATCGCAAAGCTATCGCCCAGGCGACACAAACATTTTTTTTTATTATTTGACTTTTGCTAACGATTCCCACACTTCACAATGTTTTTATTGGTATCTCGACCTTAGCTCCTCTTATCAACGTTTGCTTGTCGAGGACTTGGCAAATATGTGTGTGCACACATATGTGTGCTTGTATGTGTGTATGTGCGTGCTGTTGCCTTTGGTGTCACATCAAATTGTTTACATGCTAAAAAAAAAACTAAAGCACACTCGCAGGCGCCTCACCTTGAAAGTGGGATATGTTTTCCTTTAGCTTTACTTTCGCTTTGCTTTTGCAGATTTAATGGTTTTTCAAAGAGCCTCCCCCTCTCAGAGAGCCCCAGCATTATCATCAGCAGTGCGTGTGGGGCGCCTGACTTGCATTTTGATTTCGCAAGATGTTGTTGACGATGCTGATGAGGCATGCGGCATGTGGCATGCGTCTATTTGGGTGCGGACAGCAGCTTTGACATTTTGCTCGCAGATATTCGGTTACACGACTCGGCACAAATTCACTTACGACTACAAAGCACACACACACACACTCACACACATACACTCACACACACACTCAACACACACCGCAAGCTTCCGCTTATTGTTTGGAGCAACAATTAAGCCGCAGTTTTGCAGCAAGTCAACTAAAATCATGAAAAATGTTTGCGGTTTTGTTGGCAGCACACCCACACACACACCCACACACACACACATGGCAAATGCATGCAACTGTAAACCAGATGCCAAACAGTAAGTTGAGTGCTGCAAATGGAAATAAATTTGATGCATTTGCAGCTCATCGGCGAATTCAAAGCGAACAAGCGGGCATCGCATTCGGGCTTAACTGCTTGCAGCCTCTCCCCCTCATATTTTGAGTCTTGCCGCATTCTGTGGCAAGCACAAAACTGATTTCGACTGGTGTAGCACCTGACGAATTATGTTTTTTGTCATTTTCGGTTAAGTGCGTTGTCAGAATTTCGATTAAAAGTTGAAACTTGGAATTTTAAGAAGGGGAGTGAGAAAAGATTTAGAGAGAGGTAGATGTAGGGGAAGAGAGAGAGGGAGAGAGAGAGAGAGACACAGAGAACTAGAGACAGATATAGAGAGTGGGAGATAGAGACACTGAGAGAGAGAGGGAGAGAAATAGAGAGGGAGATAGATACACAGATAAAGAAAGAGCTAAAGACAAGGAGAGAAGCAGAGAAAACGACAGGGATTAAAAAGGAGATAGAGAGTGAAGAGCATTCCTTTTTTGTATATATATATATGTATAAGTTTATACCCAACTGATAACACCAGGCTTTGCCCGGGCCAAGTTACCCGCATGTGAGAAAGCACAGACATGTTCGTATGTAATTAAATATATATTTATGTTCTTAAGTGCTTAAGTTCGACTTGGAAATGATATTTCCGTGTGATTCTGAATTATCTCGAGTAAATCAAGTCCGAATTTGGAAAGATCTACAATTTTGTAGCACGTCAAAGCTCCTACTTTCGATTGGAATTTAGAAAATCAAATTTGGAATTTTGAAAAATTTAAATAAAAATGTCAAGGGGTAAAATTACAATATTTGCTAAAATAGGCTTGGTACTGAAATGAAATACGAGTCTAAGAGCCATATTTTTGCAAAATCGAATTATATTTAGCTGAGTTCTGGCCACTTGAAGTTTTAAAAAAGTATTTTCATTGGAATATCGTTAACATCTTAAGTTTGATTTTCGAATCATTAACCTCTTTCGATACGTGGGGATCAATGCTATTGTTTGGCTTTGGCAAATCTAGTAAGAGATTTTTAAATATTTTTGATGTCATGCTGTTCTACATAGTTTTATCTTTCCACAAACCGCATTCGTTAACCCGAGTTACACTGAGTTGAAGCTCGTCAGCTCTTTGATAGAAGCTTAAAATCAATTTACACTTTTTTTTTTATTATTAATATTTTTTAATGTCTGGCCGCAAGCACGAACAATTTTTAATTGCGATGACATGAAATGTGAAAAATGTTGAAAACATTTAAATTGTTGAAATTGTCGCAACACGAAATATTCGTAATAAATGTGCAGAATAATGGCATTAATAATGGCAATCTACATGAAACCAGCAACAACAATAAAACGGCCATAAAATGCATGCACATTCATAATGTGGAATACAGCCACAGACACTGTGGCTGACCGCCTCCCCCCTCCGCTCACCTCACCTCGCCTCGCCTCTCGTGTCCCTTAGGTCGGTCCGGAGTGCCACTCGATGTGTCTTAATTAGCATAAATGCTCATTGCGGCTTGCCCTGGCACTTACATAACCTCCGTCTATTACCCTCACCTAGCAGGCAATCGCAGCTGCAGCCAACAACTCCCCAACAGCAACAGCAGCAACATTTGGCTGCGCTGGTCTCACATGATTTAAATACTTTTATTGCACTTGCGGCAATCAATCAGCAGCAGAAGTAACAGCAGCAGCAACAACAATAATAACAGCAATATAATCAGCTAAAGAAGCAGCAATCGCAGTAGCAACAGCAACAGCAGCAGTAACAGCAACAATATGAAATAACAACAACAGCAGCAGTAGCAGCAACAATACCTGTAGCATCAATGACAACGCCAACAGGAGTAGCAACAACTACAGCTACAGGTAGCAGCAACAACAGTAAAAGTCTCAACAAGAGCATCGGCAACAGGAGCAACATATCAGCCACAGCAATAACATCAGCATTAGCAGCAGCAGCAACAACCATAAAAAGTAGCAACAACAACAGCGCCAACCACAGCAACCATATCAGCAAGAACATCAGTACCAGCCACAGCAACAGCAGCAACAGCAGCAACAATATTCGCAACAGTAACACCAACAAGGACAACAGCAGCAAAAATAGCAACAACAACAGCATCTGCAGCAGCAACATCAGCAGTAGCAACAACAATTAAACGTCAACAACCATGGCAGCAACATATTAGCAACAGCGGCAACAACATCAGCAATAGCAGCAGCAAAAACATTCAAAAGTAACAACAACAGCAGCTACGGCAGCAACAACAATCGAAATAGCAGCAACAACAGCAGTAGCAACAATAAAAGTAACAACAAGAGCTGCAACAATTTTCATGTCCCTTGATTAATTATGCGGGCACTCTTCAATTTGCTCTCACCCTTTCTGCTATCACAACTGTAATTGTAATTGTTGCTGTAATTGCTGACACAATTAAAGGGAAATGATTGGGAGCATGTGGGCAATGGGTGACTCAGTTGGCGTTGTTACCTAGTACAAAGAAATATTCGGAAAATATCGTTATAATACTCAAGCTGAATACGAGTGAAAGTAACCTGTAAATAGTTCTAAATGTTTCTTTGAAAATCATTGATAAATTATACTAGGGCATGCTTTTTAAAGCACTTTATTGTGAAGCCCGCAAAACGTTTACGAATGCGGCACAAAGAGGAAAGGCAAAGACAATGCTCTCTCGAGAGAGCATATGCAAGAGAATAGAATAGAAGACGTTTTTAAGGTTGAGAATGTGAAGCCAAAATTGAATTTCTGGCAGTGAATCGAAAGCCGTAGAAGCTAGTCATTATAAACTATATTTGCACTACAATCTAGGCTAACAGAGATAAATATATTATGAAGTCTATATATACCTGCAGAATTATGATTCATCTTCCTTTACTCAACGAGGGAAGTTTCTTTTTCTGTCTAGTAAAATTTGACTTCGAAGGAAGAGAATTTCAACCAAATTTAGCTGAAAATTAGTTCAGTTTTATAAAGTCAATTATAATGTATTTTTTTTTGCTCAGCTTTATTTGATTTTGACATTTGCGTACGCAATTTGACGATTAAGAAATACATAGTTTTTGATTTTTGAATGTGTAATGCTTAGAGCTATGTACATACGATCAGTAATAGTCATAGATATATATATATGTGTACCATATGTGTTATATATATGTATGTATTATATGTATGCATATGTAAAACAGTTAGTAAAATTTTGTTAAGAAAACAAGCTTAGTGACCATGTGGACTTATATGAATTTCTATGCAGCAAATGCAAAATACAAACATACACGCGATAGCTACAAACCAATTATCGTATATATGTATATATGTATATATGTATATATGTATGTATATATATATTTTTTTTATAGATAGATGCATGTTGACGCTATTAGAAAACTTTATAAAACTCGCCTATCGTTCGAATTGTCTTAAACTAATCGATTTCTCCTTTACTTTAGTTTATTTATTTATGTTTTTAATATTGTATTTTTTTTTGTTTTTTTGTTTGATTTTGCCAATATTCCGAATGCTAATGTCTAGGAATATAGACGCCTAAATGGTATCACAGATAAATGCGCGATCCACACAGCTGTGCAGCACGCACATTGGCATATAACTTAGGCCTAACGGGCTATAACAAATATATATATTAGATACAAATAGAACTAGAAACTATACCATTATATATGGGGTGTTTTTTTTTTGTTTTTGTTTTTTGGGGGGGTACTGGAGCTTTGTTTTATTTTGTATAAATTGTTGTGTGGGGCTTTAATTCTGCCACCAGAGGGCGCTCGTGTTCCAGATCCACGCGCCCGACCCTGATCAACGATGCTGCTGCGGATTAACCGGCCCGAATGCCTGCATGCTGTAGTATCGCTCGCTATCCTCCTTGAGGACACTGGTCACATGATGGAACTGGCACGGATGCGATATCTGTGACTTGGGCGGCAGCGGTGCCGGCTTGACGCGCTTCTGTTTCTTCTGTTTGCGTCCGGGCGCCGACAGGGCAATGTTCTCGGGATCGCTGATCAAGCGCTCGACATGCTGCCAGAGTTCGCGTGCCGCATCCGTCGAATCGAAACTGAAGCCAATCATTTGCTGATGATTGCTCGACAGGCACATGGTGTGAAACGAGGGGCCCGCTATGCGATAATTGGACAGATTATCGACACGATCCGACCACAAAGCAAAGCATGACCCGCGCTCGGCCAGCACCAGTGTGAGCCTGGGCATGGCTCTCGCCCGTGCATTGCCCTTGTCGTGGAGTATGACGGGTATGCCGGTGAATACCAGACGCCAGTCGCCATCGTTGCCAGTGCCCTCGTACAGATTGGCCAGAGCGCCGCTGACAAAGATCTCGGTGCCCAGACCGGCAAAGAAGCTCTCCACCTGGCCGCGCTCATACTCCGACAGATTCGTATTGCTGCTCGTGTCCGTGCTGATGGTGTCCGCATCGATATCGGATGCATTGTACAGCGATGTGGTGCCATGGGCGCTGCTGCGCTGTGCCGATGATTGCGAGTGCGCCGACCAATCCGGATGCAGTATCAGCTCGTCCCGCTGCTCCGAGGAGGCGGTGCCCTCACTGGACTCCGACGGTGGCGCCGAGTCGCTAACCGAGCCCAAACGGCGACGTGTCTGCTGTAGCTGATGTGACATCTGCAATGGCAACAAAACAAAACGGAAAATCCCTAATTAGATTTCGGGGCAAAGTGTAAAAGCTTTTCAATTCTATATGAGAGATATTAGGGGTGCGGCTAAAGGGGTGGAGCGAGGGGGGAAAGGGGAGTTTAGAGTAGGCCTGAGGTTCACTTGGTCACTTGGCACATTACATGACGCTAATGCAATGGGGTATAAAATACCCTCTTGCCATTGAGAATGTGCTTAAAGGGTATATTGGCATTGTGCGGATGCATGTAACAGGCAGAAGAAAACATTTGTACGTCAAAATCTTTAAGAGCTAGAAACTGAAAATGTTTTAAATGTAATTTAACGTATATTCTATGCAGAATTCGCTTATCTTTTATATCGATATCTCTTAGAATCGATTAAAATCGATTTTGAAACAATATTTCGTAGGCAAGTTCTATAGACAATAAAAGCTGGAGACTCTAAAATGGCTTAGCTTATATCTCCCATTTTCGTACAATTGATTAATATAGATTTTAAAATAATCTGAAGTCGATATCCAACCCCTCTTTCCACAATCGTCGATTTATATCTATTAGATCGGGGATTTTAATAGCAAGAGGGAATATAAGTTCATACGTTTGTAGTTATTTCTGTTATATTTCTACCTATTTCCTTGATTGTCGATAACTATCGATTGAATCGGGAATTATATAAGCTAGAGATAAAAGATTGTAGTATATTTTATATAATATTCCTCTCCATTTTCTTAATTGTCGATAAATATTTGATTACTAGGATATTATATAAGGCAAAGACATATAATTTAGCACAGTTGTTGTATTTTGCAAGCGATATCTTAAGCTCGGCGCTGAGTACAGGATATCTGTTAGTCGCGCACAAGCTTATTGCTTGTGTTTGCAGTTGCGCTGCGCTCTCAAAGTTGGCTAACATAAATTCCCCGGCACGTGTTTTTGGCTTTTTGGCTGCGTTTTCTGCACTTTAGTCTCAGCTTTTGCAGTTTGTTTACTTCTGTATCGGGGCTTGTGGTCGCTCATCTGGTTAGCTCAACTGGAAATTAAACACAATCAATTTCCGCTTGGAAAACCGTAAACAAGCTCTCTGTTAAATGTGCTCAGCAAACAGTTGGCAAAATTATTGAAGCCAATTGAATATTGATTTATTAATACGTTTGGCATTCAGTGAGAAAATCGAATTTCTTTGAGCATGAATGTTGTGTAAATTGGTTACATCAGATAATTCGGAATGCAAGGCATTTACTTTGGCTGCACAACGCTGCGTATGCGCAATATTTAAGCACAGCCAAGCCAAAGGCCATCAAAATGCAGCTATCAAGACTTTTCCTATTCAATAGAAACAATTGAAATTCTTGTTACACAGAAAAAGCACCCAAGTGATTTATTAAAATAAAAACCAGTTAATTTCAGCTGCAAAATGCAACTGGGAAAAGTCACTTCAAGCTGAAACGAACAATTGTTATACTAAAAATACTTGAATAAATTGATTTCAGTTAATTAAGAGTGCATTTAAAATTACAAATTTTGTTGTAAGGTTTTTCCCTTTTTTAGCCCGTTTTGGAGGTATAATATTTATTATTGATAAAATGCATTCACAGCAGAGCTTAAATGGAATATAAAATTAAAAAAATGGTCTTAATAAAAACTATATAGAGACTTTTATTATACCCTCTAAAATATATCATATATCTGCAAGTGTCAACAAGGGTCTTGAATCTTCGGCGTTCTGAGGAAAGCCAAACTTTCTCGTTTTTTTAAGAAACTCGAATGGTTAAGGCTGTCGAAATAATTATGTCAATAGAACTAGTTTTAATTATGATTATTAACACCCAATAATTTTGTTTTCTTTGTTATTTTTAATAATTTATTCATTTATACTTATAAAGCAGACATGAATATTAAAACATGCTGCTGAGTTTGAACCGGCGACCGCGCCACAGACACTCGCATTAGCTATTGCTATTTGTAATGGCTTACAATTCTTCTTTAATCTTGCTTTCTGATGCCAGTGTTATTTGAAGTCCTGCCACAAATTGAACGCCGCTCTATTTCATTTCAATTACATTATTTTACACACACATCAGATCAATTTTCAGCAATGCAATGCAAACAAGATCGAATGAATCGATTGAATACCTGATGGCCGCATCAAATTGCCTACACTCAGATGCCGAATTGCTAATGAATGAAAATGTGAAAATTTGCTGCAAATATGCAGCGAACCGCAAACCCGCCAGACCCCCGAGACTGAGTGTGGCACGTGGACAGGGGCACGTTTTAATTAACGCCGCAAATTGCTGGTCACGATGTAATTAAATTATTTAAATTGCTAATTTCGCACAGAAAGTGGCAAAAAAAAAAAAAACAGAAATTCATGCGCTAAAAAGGAAAGTGCGAAATAAAGTTGAAAACTTCAAGTTAAAGCCACGCTGAAGGCATAAATAATAATAATACCACAAATAAATAAACCAAAGAGAAGAAAGAAATGCGCAACATTTCGACACATTTGCACAGGGAACTGGATAAAAGGGCGCCCGAGGGACACGCCGGAAGTTGTGTATCTGGCATCCGGTTCCAAAAGAGAGAGAGAGAGAGAGAGAGCGAGAGCGAGAGAGGGAGATGGAGGGAGGACAATCGTAACTGTGGCACACTTTTAGGCCAAGTTTTCGGCAAAGTTTGGCGTAAAGTTTACACGAGGAGCTGCAACATTAACGCGCTTATCTATAATTTACACGCACAACCAGAAGGAAGCGGGAAGGAGGGCTGATTCTTGGATGCACATTGATGTTGCCATTACTTGTGTGCGGCAAGTCGAGCTGCTGTCAAGCGTCGTGTCCCCCCAAAAAACAGACGACAAAAAAGAAGGGCGCAAAAAAAACCTACGCCATCTAAGATTAATTGGCTCGCTTTGCCGGGCCTCGTTCCAGGCAAATATATTTAGTGCCGAGATTTATGTTGCTTCATTACATACGGCCCCCGCCCCCGCTCACGTTCCCTTGTGGCAGTGACAGCGCCTTGGAGCCTGGCTAGCTGTGTCTTTGGCCAGTTGTACGAACATTTTGCCTAACAATTAAACAAGTTTGGAAGCCCGGGAGCGTGGCTGACGTTTTTATTGTTGTGGCAGCGAGCGACCAAAATGAATATTTAATGCGCCGCAACAGTGTCTGAAACCCCAAATGGCCTTCGATGGCATCGATATAACGGCAAGTTCAATGTCAGGCCATCTAATGCCTCGCACTGCGCCACGCGGCGTATGCGCAACATTTTTGCTTTCTCTGATGTCGCCTTTATTTATAGCGCTCGTGCGTAGCCAATAATCGAAATTCAAGAACGATTGTTATTTATGCTCATTAGAACTGAATAGCTGCATATATAGTTTATATATTTCTTGATTAGCTGCTCGTATAGCTGATTAATCAGCAGAGAGTTTTGCTGTAAGTAATGGGTTCTAATTGGAATTTATTAAGTTTGAGTTTTGGCTGCTGCTCAAACAACAAAGACATGCCAATTTACAGGGTATATATAGAAGTTTTCTTCATATCAAAATCTGATTGATCAACAGAAAGTTTTGGTGTACATAATGGTTCATTCTGATTAGCCATAAGAGAGTTTTGGTATACGTATTAAGTTCCAATTGGCATTTATATAGTGTGTGTAGGCTGTTAATTTACAGGGTATATGTAAGTTTTCTTCATATTGAAAGCTGCATTCGAGGCTTAGCTAATTCTTCTCCAAAATGTGTTCTAACTTTGGCTTGTGCTTTCTGCAAAGCAATCGTTTTTTGCTTTCTTCTTTGTGTCGCATTCGTAAAGGTTTTACGGGCTGCGCTACTTCGCAAGTGTCAAATTATACTTTCGTAAATAAACTTTTGCATTATCTAACATACAAAATTAAACACATTTTTTTTATAACAGCATTTAAAGATATTTCACAAAGATTCGAAACAAATTTCGATAACAAAACCATTTCCATTTCCATTATTTAGGTCTAAATGTCCAATCGTTGCTTTATCAGTATTTTGAGGAGCCGTCAAGATTTCATATTTCATTTGACAAACCGCTTGAAATTGACAGCTCAAGAAGCAGCAACAATGCCAACAATTTAATAATAACAAGAAAATCAACAAATTGTGCTGTGAAAAGCAAAAGAGAAATTCTTTTATTTTGATTGTTGTGTGTTTGAGGCAGGTCAGTGAAATGTTGGGCATGTCAGAGTCAGAAAGACAAACAGAAAACAAAAATCAAACAAATTGAGTGGGCAGCACACACAAGCACACACGCACACAAGCACACACGCACGCACACACACAGCAAACACAATTTCCCAATTAGAAACCGTTGCAAAGGGCGTGTCATGAAAAACGTCATGGAACGTGGGTCAGCTGGACAGTTGGCCTTTATGTTAATTTTTGCCAGCTTTTCATAGCTGCACATTATGAAAAATTGTTCAAGTGCAACAACAGCAGCAACAACAACAAAAGTGGCAGCAACAGCGTGGCAAAAAATACTTGAAACGTGCCGTGATTTAAATTTTTTGTGACGTTGGCAACGGCCAACTGCCAAAAAGGGGAAAATTCAATTAAAATGCACAAAGCCAACGTCTCGCCGAGTGCACACGGCCCCGCCCCCCTCTCCACTCCGCACACCATCACAAATGATTGTGTGCTCACGTATGTGTATCAAAAAATGCTTAAACTTAAATTGAATTTGTTATTAAACCAATTTCATTTGGCCATAAAGCAATTTGCATGCAAAGTTGCAGACGCTGGCTGCACTTGAAGCTGTGATAGCCCCCCCCTTTCTGCCACCTCACCTCCTCCTACTGTTTGTCTAGCTAACCTAGGTTGACATATCCATATCCATCTCTCTCTCTTCAAAATATGCGCTGTGTTGGCAATCACAAATCGCGCAAATTCCTCTGACAGCGGCGACCGCGACTTAATGCTCAAGTTGCCAGGCTAAAAATTTGCTATGTTGCGCATACGACGCGTTG